AATCATTCATAGACTCCACGACTCTAAGAAAGAAATCCACAGTATTTTTTTTCAAACACCTCATCAACATGTGATAAATGTCAGTCCTCTGATGCAACTCTGTTCCTAAGATTCTCACATACTGGTCCGAGGTTTTTAAGACTCTGTCACCAGAACTCTTATTAATCATCCTTGGAACATCAGCAACATACAGACTCTAGCACAACCAAAATTCATTTCCTACTCTCTTATAACTGCAAAAAAAATTACTCTTGATGTCATGGAAAGGACCAACAGTACCCAGTGCAAAGGTCTGGCTAAGAGAACTGTCTAATACAGTGAAAATAAGATACACACTGAAAGACAATGTGTCACGATTTCAAAACATCTGGCATCAAACATCTTTTGTAGATTTTTTACAGTCTGTGTAAACATCCAAAACAACTTTGCACTATATTTAATTTTACATTTACATATCTATAGTATGTATGTTTTGTGTTCTATTGTTCTTTGTGCTTTTTTCTATATATACAAAATTCTTGAGCTTCACTAAAATGCTAAATGGAATTCTGTATGTTGTAAACTGCTCAATTAAAACTTTCTGACCTAAACATTGCAGATAAATGTACTTTTTTTGCAGGTCAGAGAGTCTGTTTGTGACTTTTTTTGATCAGTTCCTCCCTCTTCTGTTTGACTGTCTCATGAAATAGATGCAAAGAGCTGCTTTCATTCATAACAATGTTTGAGCAGAAACTACAATGTGCGTTTGCAAAGTTTTGGTAAGAAGACTATAAAAGCCAACAGACAATTTAAAGACATGTAATAACTGTAAACTATCACAAAACATGCGGAATTGAATTTTTTTCTTTTTCGGGGATTGGGGGGGAGGAGGTGGGTGCTGCATAACAAGGAGCTTTATCTAGTTGTTTTCAGGGTACGTTTAATTACTTGCAACAGATGTTCAATATTCGGTTCAATTCAATTTTCACTTCAATTTCAATGTTTCTTACCACATTCAGAAAATCATGTTTTGCAAAACCTGCTCAAAAATTCTGCTTCAGTGACATATTTTCTTTTGTCACTGTGAGGAAGCGCATTTCTTATATTAATATGTTTGCAAATGCTGTAACCAATTAATGAATGCTGTAATTACATGTTCTTATTTGCTCTCGTTTTAATTTACTTTGAATGATAGTGAAATAACATTAGCACCAGGCTGTGTGCTGAGTAAACACTTGAATCTGGATGTAACTATGGCCCTCTAGTGATTACAATTATCATGTATGTAAGGAGGGTCAAACTTGGTTCAAGTGTTCAGCTGGGTAATATGGATATGACTCATGTTCCAGTGGCGTAGCAAAAAGAAAAATAACATTCATTACATTCATTCATTCACACGCTTCCTCACCTATGTCAGCGCCGCTCAGAGCTCTGCCCAGCGGCCAGGGTCGGACGTCTGTCGCCTTGTTGTTGATGGTCAGACTCTGAATGCAGCCAATAAAACCCCGGTTCGTCCCCGTCGCTCTGACCAGCCAGTACGCACTCGGGGATCCACCCACATACAGCGGAGAGCGGAAAGTGATCTTGGTGTACTGACCCTGAAAGAGAACAACGTGTACGTCAGCTTCGGCCTCCGTAGACACTCTCAGGTACGATCCTTGGAAAGTTAATATTGATAATAACAGATGGCACGTCCTTTGGTGTTACCACTGACACACAGCAGGAGAGGTGAGGTGCATTAACATGATCTAAATCACTGTTTCAATTTAAAAATGTAAATATTGTTTGCGTATAAACCGCCTCTGTCTGTTAATGTTACCTGTGAACGTCCAGATATGGGGGTGTCATTGTCCATCCGGAGCCAACCGCTCATGCCATCTCTGAACACGGTCACTGTGTGCCACTGACCCACAACGATGCGACTGTCGCTGACGATCTGAGCTGCTCCCGTACCACAGTTAAACCTGCACGGACAAAAATCAAACAGGGAACTGTTACAGCGGGGAAAAAAGATATCCCAAATGATTCTTACCTCGAATTTCCCTTTTAATGTTTTTCATTAAACTAGTTTGACATTTTGGGAATTACACTTTTTTTTATTATTATTTTAGACACTTAGAAGGTAAATAAGAGACTGCAGGGGACAGGATGGCTTAGCATAAAGATGGGAAACAGACAGAAACATCCAGCCAGGCAGCAAAATCTGCCTGTCAGTTATCTCCTTAGAACTAATCATAGCTGTATTTACTTTTCAGCTTTTGTTCAGATTAAAATAACACGATGCAACATGTTAATTAGTCAACTTGGCGTGAGGTGGATTATCATCTTATAAGAGAGTGAGGTTAGCTGTTTGTCCCTGTCTCCAGTCTTTGTGCTGAACAAAGTTAACAATGACTTCATATTTAATGAAGACATCAGAGGGGTTTCCTCATCTGACTCTCAGCAAGAAAGCAAATATGGTGTTCGCCAAAATGCTACATTTCTTTAAAATGTGTTAAAATGTAGAAAAAAACTTAAGTCACACAGCATCGGAATTGTAGCACATCACTGAAGATATATAGTGTACAGAATGAGTGTTCAAGGTGGCATGTTTTTATCTATCCATGCATTATCTATACACCGCTTAATCCTCACTAGGGTCATGGGGGACCCTGGACAGGTCACCAGTCTATCACAGGGCTACACATAGAGACAGACAACCAAGCAAACTCACATTCACACCTATAGACAATTTAGAATCACCAATTAACCTCAATATGTTTTTGGACCTTGTGGGAGGAAGCCGAATAACCCGGAAAGAACCCACGCTGCACGGGGAGAACATGCACACAGAAAAATCCTGGACGTCCTAATTCTAACTTAGTGTTTTTTTCTCGAGTGATGCTTTTAAATAATTACAAATTGTATCCCTGAAGCTCTTTGGCTTTTTCAAACCCATATTTAAACCTTTTTGCTTCTTGAAGTGCAGTTTACATTTTTTTACATGACCTTTGATGAGGAGCTGCTTTTAAATTCTCTTCCCACCCTGTTTTGAAAGTGATGCGCAAGTATGAGTCCATGTCTTCCAAACCTGTAGTGAAGTTTGCCTCGGACCAAAGCCAAAGAGGTGAAGTCTCCACGGCCGTGTTCGTTCTCTCCACAGTACAGCAGCAAGCCGTCTTCAGAATCTGCCTGCACCAGACATAAACTGTCTCAAACACTGTTTCATCATTAACAGGATGAAAAAAAAACACTAAGCCGTCAAAACAAGAAAGCGTCTTACCTTGAACTCCAAAGTGATCTGAAAGGTCTGGTACGAGTTTTTCAGCGGTTCAAACGTCATATGAGAGTAGCCGTAAAACCTGGGAAAGTTCACGGACACCACTGAAGAAGAAGAAAGGATTCAATCATGATCTATTTGTAGTAACAGTGCTGATGGTAGAAGCATCATATACTTGTAGGTTTACCAGAGAAGCACCCTATTCACTATTAAAGTGTGAGCTTGTTCAAATGTGTACAAAAGACAATTTACTGGGCGTTTAAGTGTAAGGTAGCAGTTTTGTTCTCAGTCTTTTCCAAACTCATGATGCAGAAATGTAACTGCGCTTCTCACCCTCAGAACAAGTGTCTCCTCTTCGTCCAAGGTTACAGTGGCAGCGAGACCCTCCCCCATCATAGTCGCTGAGACAGAAGCTGTCGGGTGGACACACGGTATCGTCACAGGTCAGGTCGTAGACACGAGGAACCTCACCCTTCCAGGGCGACATGGTCGGGGTGGTGGTGGTGGTGGTGGACAAAGGGATGCTGAAGAGGACCAAAGAAGAAGAAGAGAGACGGGCAAGTTTAGTTAGTTTAATCTTGTGAAACAACAGTTCCTGGTCAGTGTTTTAGCCAATTACTGTACTTCACTTCCTGCTGCAATTTTGTCATGAATGTTCTGCGCTGTCAGTTCTGTACTCAGGTTTATTTATAGATGACATTTGATTGTAAATTGACCCACACACTTGGAGATTCTTTTTGCCTTCTGTGTTTTTTGATAGCAAAAGCAAAAAGTAAAAAATGACAATGCAGCCAAATGCAAGAGAGGGGTAGTTAGGACACCACTTGCTCCAGCTAATGACAAGCTGTGTATTACAACCAGCCGGGCAACTCAAATTGAGGTGACATTTCCCTGCTCCAGTCACCGTCTTTATCAAATAATTAAGCTAAAGAGCAAAAAGAAAGCCAGTTTTGGGTGGCTTTTAGGAAAAGGTAGATAGCAAGGAGCGATGGCAATCTGGCAGTCAAAGAGGAAGAGGAACAGAATTGAGATTTTGCTCAGATACAGAAAATCAAACCCCTTCCTGGTAGCCCTGTGCTTTTTTTTTCTTTCTCATCTATAAAAATGTCCAACTTTGCTTTTAGAGCGAAGGCCACTGCCTCCTCTGGTGGCTGGGAAAGACCACTGAGAACTTACAGATCTTAATGTCTTTATCAAACTGTCATTAAGTTAAATATTTTCTATTTTTGAGGTACATCTTCTGACCTGGTCGTGGTAAACGTGGCGGTAGTTGGGGTGTCGGGGGTGCTGCTGCGCTCTGATGTGACCGAGAAAACCAGATCGGTGAAGTCTGATAAGATGGAGGAGGTGGTGGTGGAAACTGGTGGGGCAGTGACGTTAGGAGGAGCGATGGTGTTCATACGGTAAACAACGTTTCGGCCATTTGGGGGACCAGCGCGCGATCGGAGTTGGGACTTCCTGTTGTCCTGACTGATACCTGGAAACGGCTTCAACTAGGACACAGAAAAGAAATTATTTTGAACATAACATTTGTCTTTAACAGCTCCTATAAAATTAATGCATTCTTTAACTATATTTAAAAATCTGTATAAGCTTGAAGTTTTAATTATTACTATTCAGCCCTGGCGTGTAAAAACCCACCTCTTCAATAAAAATATCGTAATCAGAGTCATCCACATCAAATCCATCTTCATCTTTGGGGTCTGTGATGTAACGTCCGTAATCACCGCTGCCAACGTCTGAAGCACCTGTTACAAATGTCAGTGATGAGTGTTACATGATCTTTACAACATGCTGCTCAAAGGCGTGAAGGATGAGTTCAGTAAAAATGGAAGGAAAAACATTTCCACAATCGGTTGGATGGTAAAGTCATGATTCAAATACACTAAATGTACTGTGTTAGAAAACCCAACATACGGGAGTGACACTGCAAATATGGAGTTAATTCTGCTCTATATGGATTTCATAGCATAACAATTAATTCAGTTTTAAGTCAGGCAAGGTGTCCTGTTTGCACAGAAGGTGTGTCAACAGAATGCCTTCAGATCTATTGAATACGGTACAAGCATCCACATCATTTCTTCCCTTTATGTGTCTTTATAAACACAGCAGGACCACCAGTGGTGCAAGTTTGGACTTTCCCTCCGTACTCCATTTGCAGTATCACCACCACGCTTTGCGATGACATTTCACTTACAGCAAGGCGGCGGTGACAATGAACACGACACAAACAACAAACGATAATGACTGCAGGGGAGGGAAAAGAATGACGGTGGGGTTTTTCTGTGGTGGATGTAGTGTGGTCATAGGCGCCAGTTCTGTGGGTGTCCGGGAGCTGCTGTTGCTCAACTGTGCCTTATGTTATTGTACGTTATTGTACCATGTTGTCCCAAGAGAGCGCTTCGCTGTCAGAGTGTGGGCTTATTTGTGGTTCCAAGAGTTTCCAAAAGTGGAACAGGATTTAACTACCAGGCTTGTCTCCTGTAGAATCAGCTCCCAGTTTAGGCTTGGGGGACAGACACCGTCTCTGCTCTTCAGATTGGGCTTTAAACTCTCCTGTTTATAGTGTGGACTGGCTCTGCTGACCCTGAACAATCCCTTAGTTAAGTTGTTCTGGTTCTAGGATGTGAGGGGATTTCCGGTGGTGCACTAAGCACCTCTCCTTGCTTTCACTCTCCATACATTAATGTGCCCCTATTGCTCGCCACTAACTTTGTGTCTTCTCTCTCCTGTAGTTTGTGGTTTGACCTCTCGGCAGGTATCTCTGACTGTGGAGCAGCTCCTGACCTCACCAACCTCTCCAGCGGTCTTTCTATCTGCTATCCTACACGTCCCTTACTTTCACCCTAACCTCCCTAAACCTGGTTGTGCCACATGTTTCTTCCCGTTTAAAGATGAGTTTTTGCTCCCTGTCGCCAAGGAGCTGCTCAAAGGGAATCTTTAAATCTGTTCTCTCTATAACACCGTAAGGTTTTAACCTGACTATGACTTATGCCATCTATGGGCGCTATTTAAATAGAACTGTATTGAACTGAACTGAAAAGCTCTCTCTCAGTTGCCACCATTCAGTTTTCAGTTAAATCGACATTTGAGGTTATTGGCTCAGGGTCACATGGTCATAAAGAAACCAATCAAAAGTGCGTAATTGACTTTTAGGTCATCAAAGCTGTCACAGACAAAGACAACTAAAACGGGTGTCATCAATTTAAACATAGTGGAAAAACGACGTGTTACATATGATTTACTGCGTCAGTTTCTTTATTTGACATTTTACTTGCTATGTCGTGGAGGAGATTCAGTTTTTATTTGCGGTTGTTGGTTAGAGGCGTAACATCTGACACAGTAAAATCGGAGCCTGTGGGTGTTTCCCTGTGACAAATGATAATGGAGTGGCCGACTATGATGATGAAGATGGTGATGAGCTGACAGCAGTAATCCAGCTGCCAGTGCGTCTACCTGTTAGTCTGTAACCAGGCTGCTGCACCACGTACTGAAAAGTGTCTCCTCGGTACAGAAAAGCGCCATAGGGAGCTCATGGAGGAGAGAACCAGGCAGTGAAAACATGATATGAAACTTACTCATTGAAAAAAAAAGAAAAATCTTCCCCAGCCTTGTTGTTAATTAATTAATAGGTCGTGAGAAATTAGTGTTGAAGCATATGAACGTATTAAATGGTTAATACAGTAGAGAAACACATGATCTAATTAAGTATTTAGGCAGGCTTTCAAACAAACAAACAGCCTAACGAAGAGATTACACATTATGTAGCTTTGTGGATTATTAGCCATCTCTCGAAGTTCATAATTTCCTTTCTAAACTATAAAAGCACACGTTCAACATAAGACCCCACCTCCCCATCCACCACCATCCACCTCACCCTGAGAAAGCCTAATCTTAGCTTACATAACAACCCCCCTCCCTCTTGTCTTCTTGTTCTTCTGCCTCTCTATTCTTTATAAACATATTAAATGCTAAAACCTGAAGGATAACAAATATTCCAGGATACCAGAAACCTATTCAAATAATTCATTTATCAAAAAAAAAAAAAACAATCTTGACTTTTAAGCTTGAATGGATGCCAAGATGTAATTAGCGCAGCCTAATAACATTAAATCCTGAATACCAAGTGGTAGAGGGGGGGAGATGCCCAAAAAACCCTCGGCAAACTAATCTGCTGTTGTGTAACAATCCCCCTCGATCCATACCTCCGTGTGTCTAACCAGTACAAGCACACACACACACACACACACACACACACACACAAGAACCGTCACAGAGAGAGCAACAAGAAAAGTATGTCAGTCAGTCAAGCCCACCCCCGCTGTTCGCTCAAGCAGTGGTGCATTGTGTGCATCCATTAGGAGTGTGGATGGGCAGAGAAGGGGTCTGGCATCCCGCCCTTAATCCTGTCTGATGAGACTCGGACGTAACCCGCTTTTATCCCCTGCTGAGAAACCACGCTTGTCCATCTCTTCGTCTCTGTCTCTCCGTGTCCCTCCGACTGGCTCGTTTCTTCTCGTTTCATGTAACTTTCATTCCCTAACGACGTCTCTCTGATCTGTCTCTCTGTACCTGTCTGTCTGAAGCGTCTCTCTTTGCCCTCTCGCAGGACTTTGGACGCTTAATTCAATCAGAGCAGTTTACAGATAACATGGCGTGTAAAAGCTGCGTGCTGACATTAACTCTGGATAATGTGATTGTGTTTACATGGCGGTTTAATTTCAAGAGTTATCATACTCTTAAATCCTGATGTACACACACACACACACACATATAACACTGTCCACCAATGTATATATACATATGTATGAATGTGAACACCACGGCTCCATTAGACATTATTGCTGCATGCACAGTTTGTGTGTGTGTGTGTCTGGCGCACACCTGTGTGAACGCCCGTGTGTTTTAATATCAATCAGTCTTGACCATCCCCCCCCACTTACATCAAAAATAATAATGTAAATGACTCTGTCGCTCTACATCTGCATCATCCAAGGCTCCAGCCACAAAAGCCCACTGACACACTGCCAGGTGCTGTCCTACATTCACAGCACACTCTGTTTAAACCTCCCCACTGAGAATGAATAGAATAAACTGGAATTATTCTATTTATATTCACACAAAAGATAACCTGATCTTTATGTGACACCTTGAAGAGGCTCTGTAAGGCTCTCAAATATAGAAAAATTAAGGAAAAGTTGCAACATTTCAAGAAAAGAAAAAAAAAAATACAGTAAAAAAATGGCAAAATTTCAGAAAAATGTAACATACTTCTTCTCCAAACCAAACATTAACAGCTTCATTTAGAAAATATAAATATGTGGATGATGCAAATGTCCATTTCCTAAGCAACCCTGTCTCACAGAAATTTATTTCCTATTCTAATGTTAGAATAATTCTATGTTATGATCCAATGATCTTTGTGGAAAAGTATGAGAATGCTGTAAATGTTCATTGCCTTTATTTCACCTTGTTAGTGTGAGATAAGACGTCCGTAGTGGGTAGTGAAAACACCATGCCTACTCGCACACATTTGCGGGAGGTTGTCTCCTGTTTTCTGTATATAAGAACCAGGGCTTCATGCTTTTAGTTAGTCACTTGTTCAGACTCTGTGCTGTACACGTTGCTCCTTGCTGCAAGTAAAACTTTGCTTTGACTTAAGAGACGACTCTGTGTATTGATTTGGAGCAGTTAGGACTCCACTGAGGAATTTTCCTAACAACTAATAAATTCCATTCTTATTTGCATTTGGAAAGAAATGTATGTTCTCACAGGAATATGTACGTCTCTAAACAACAAAACAAAGAAAAATCCACATTAGGAGTTGGAGGCATCAACAGGACTTCTATCCAGAAGGTTTGTATGTTAGGTAGATTATTCCTAGACTGAATGTTTGATTTACCTGCTGCTTGGTTAGGTCTAAAAACTGCTTGGGAAAATATCACACTTTGGGTAAAACTACAACCCATTCACACTATATTTGAAGCTTGTAAGTTTATGTTTGATTGGCCCAAAGGGGAGTGACAGGAAAGCAATAAAACACGGCAAAGATATATTGATTGCATGTGGTACATCACAAACACGTGTAATTTGTGAGAAACTGCATGTCCTTCAAGATATAATTGAGATTGCAGTTTAGTTGTGTACTTTTGGGGAAGTAACGCTGCTACAAATGATGCCTCTGCTGAAGTATCACTTATCACTACTGGGAGGAGAAACAAGCAACTGTCTCCACTTGAACCCTGGAGTTTACACAGTGCGGTTCAACAGGGTAAATGTTTTATTGTGAGGATCGCTTTGCTGATGTTAAAAGTACACATCGTCCGTTTAGTCCGGCGTGGGTGCATTGTTGAAGATAAACTGAAAAAGCGGGTTGTTTTTATGTGTGGTCGAGACCGCCGGCTAATCAGGAGGCTGAGACGAAGCTGTCACATCGCACGGAGATCAACACTGGACCTTACCGAGAGTGCGCACGGGGTTGTTGATGTGGCTGGGTGGGCTGACTCCGTGCACGTTGACCGCCCTGACAACAAACTGGTACTCCGTCTCCGGGATTAACCCTTTCAGAACCATGGAGTTGGTCTCAATGGGCTCACGAATGTACGTCCACTCAGTGTCCATTTCTGGCCTAAGGAGGGGGAAAAATAAAAATAAAAGAGGACATAAAGGCTTAAACACACACAGACTGGGACAAGAAGTGTGTTTCTACAATTTCCACATTTTGTAAGACTTTTTTTTTTCCTTCCTTCGCTCTCAAAACTTCTCCAGAGTAATTGTTTTTGAGGATATGTGTTTTTTTGTGTTTCAAAATTCTGATGTGATCTTTCACTTGATTGTGTCCCTCCTGCTGCTGCGCCTCCACGAGAAAATCTATAAGTGATTGCAAAGAGTACAGTTACGCTTTTCTCTTGAAAAAAGAAAAAAACAAAAGAAAGAAATCGATTGAGTTTTTTTTCTTGTGGCAGTATTTTTGAAGCGCTCTAACATTATCTTTTGATTTAATCAGAGCATTGTTTTGGAAAAAAAAGCAGCAAAGCAAAAAATAAAATTATTGTGTGTTTTTTTTTTTGTCATCATCATCATCTCAAGTGTCAATCTGGAGTTGCCACGTTGGTGTTCTGGGAGCCTGGAGCTACAACTATCTGTTGCATACAGTCATCTTCACCAACACTGTCTCTCTTCAGTAAGGCCTCTTTTGATGTAAAGGGGGGAGATCTGTGTCCGTGACGGCCCCTTTTGTGTGGAAAATGCCGCCGCATGCAAAAAACAGACACTGATTCATGTCTGCGCTCCCAAACTAAGTGACAGTTCCTCTGCCTCTGTCTCTCTGTCTTTGCCTCTCCCTCTGCGCTCAGTCACAGGGTGTTAGCTCTCCACCCCGGACGGGAACTGCTGTGTCGTTAAAGCTTGTTTCCTTTTCATATCTGTGCAACTCTTTTACTTCTTTTCTTTTAAATTCAATCTGCATTTCTTTTTTATTTATGTCTGGCAAATCATCAGAGGGCTCCGGGGGAATTATTTCTGACCTCAACTTCCTCGACACTGTAGCCAGAGGACTCGTCTAGACATGGGAGGTCCGTTCTGTGGGTGTGTGTGAGGCTGGGTAACACCAGAAAGAGAAGAAAATCCACTCTTTCTCATGTTCTGAATGACCCTCATGTCATAACACAAATGGTGACACTGACCAGACCAGTTTAATGAAATTCACTACAACAGAGATCTGTGCTTTCTCTTAAAGTTATGTGACTAAATGTAGACGTAGAGGATCTGACTGATGAGGCCGAATATGCAGATGTATACTCCCATCAATGCAGGGCAGTAAAAGTTTGGAAAGAACTTTATAATGTAATTTAAATGTCTTAGTATGACTCCTTATTAGTGTTAGTTAAGCACAGTCAAAACAATAAATCACTGCTGCATTTTTGGCAAATATCATTAATCATTGTTCAGAATGCTTAATCTCTTGACTTCCAGTGTTCCATCATCTTATTGTTTTTTGTTGTTTTTCTTGCCTCCTGCATTTTTATTTATTTTTTTGTCTATTTTTATCATCTAATTGATTTTTTTTTTTAAACTTCTATTAATTTTAAATTACAAGTAAAAATACTTTATCAATGAAGGGGGATAATTTGCTTTTTGGGTGTAATTTTATGCTATTTCACTCTGTTTTACCCTTTATTTATTTATTTTTTAATGTATTTCTTTTATTTATTTACTTTTTTTATGTATTTCTTTTACTTGTTTACTATTACTACTATTAATATCATTTTTAGGCTCTATTTTCTTTTATTGAACTCATTCTTTTCTGTACTTGGATGTGGCATTTTATTATTTTAATTTAATATATTTGAAAATTCTTGTACTGACCAGCCTTCTGTTGTTCAACGTTCTTTCTGAGCATATTTCTTCTTCTTCTTAATTAGTAGTAGTTTTGTAATTTCCATTATAATAATTTTAATGGCTGAAAAGTAAACATTTTTACATACGGTGATGATTTCACATCTACATGTCTGCATGTTCCAGGTTTATTTGACAAATGCACCTATTTAATTGCTTTCTTTGTCAAATGAGAAGCTTGAGTAAAAGAGTTGATATTTAACCATTTATGTCTCAAACCATAAATGATTAATAAACACAAGCAGCAAGAGCAGGATTTGGATTTAGAGGGATGCTGGTGATGTCTTACAGTAAACAAGTTTACTGTCACTGCTTGTTGTTTTCTGTATTGTAAGAACTGAACAAACAAGACATAACAGAAGGTGCTGGCAGGCATTTCCTATTTTTGAACCTATGGAGCAGCGCTTCCTAATCTGTGGATCGGGACACCCTGAGGGGGTCATGGGAAGTGTGCTAAAATAAGTTGATATGAAATGAAAGGATCTGGCCCTGAACAGACAGAGCTGCAGGCGAGGTGAACACAGCATTAGGAAAACTTCTAGCGTTTGCATCAGCCTGGTGTTTACGTACCTGACAGACAAGTACCGTGGCCGTCGGTTAGGCTCGACTATGTTTTTATTGTCTTCCTTTATTGGCTTCTGGGCACAATTGGAACAACCTACCGCCTCCACGCAGGTTCAGCCATCGCACTGATTGAGTTAAAAAGATGTTGTCTTATTGTGTTGTCTGACCATTCCCATCAGAGGATCTAATATTTAAGTCGCTGACCACGCCATTACGCACTCTTAAACTTTGTCTTTCCTGGGATGAAAAATGGGTCATAAAACATGTTTATCCTGGAAAGAGGATTGCACTCTTGACAAAGTTCACAACCACTGCTTTAGAATGAACCAGGATAGCCTCGTGCTAAGCTAAGCTAATAGTCAGGCTGTGTGTTATATTAAGCTGACTAACATGTGGCGTTTATCCTCGAATCTAACTCTGGGCAAAAAGGCAAAGCATATGTTAGAATATTATTCCTGTAAGGTGTACTTTTGCTTCAACGGCTGCAAGATTACTTCAAATATTTAATTGAAAATCTTTGCCACATGTGGCATCTCTAAAAATCTTGGAATCTTCACTAGAATCTGACTTTGAGCAAAGCGGATGTATCTAATAACAGACATATAACCGTGTTCTTGTGGTTATAGAAGCTACTTGGGAGCAGCAGAACAGCAAAAGCTCTTTGAATTGTCCTCTTCCTTCTCTTATCAATTAAGAAAGTGAAACGAAAGCTGATAAAAACCAAACAGCCTTTTTCTCTTTTTCCTCACAGAGCCACTCGTGGAACAAGGCTTTTCATTTAGACTTGTTTTCTTCCCTCCGTGACATGGCCACTTCAGGCTGCTCTTCACCTGATAAGTGCCTGTACGAGCTGCTTTATTGATGTCTGCATGCGGCTAACTTGTGTGTCTTTGAGTGCCGTGTGCTCCAACGAATTTCCCCGAGCGCGTGCGTGCACTAATAGCAACAGTTCTCGAAATGAAAATTTACTAAAGCGTAATCGATTGCCCTTTTTTTTGCGATCGATCGATCGATTCCGACTGACCTGATGTAAGCCACCAGGTAGTGAAGAACAGGTGCACTTCCCTCGCTCTCTCCTGGCTGCCAAGACAACGCCAGCTCCGTGTCAGACACCGCCATGACAACGGGCTGAGTGGGGGGCGAAGGGGGCATGCACATGTCTAATGGCGGAGAAAGAGATTGAATTCAGCAGAAAGGTAGTAACGATGCTTCCGCGGGAATAATGGCATCGACTGTAAAGTGGATTCCTTCTACTCACATATTCTTACCATGTGAGGCGGTGCTGATGTCTCTGGGCATGCTGGGTCTGCCCTCCCCTGCCCAGCCATACGCTCCAACGCTGACTCTGTACTTAGCGTTGACCTTTAGGTTACCAACGTCCACATCCTAGTAAGTAGGAAGAACATAGAGGTGGATATAGGGGGGGAAAAGCAAAGTTAGGGGGAGAGAATTAAGACAAAAGGAAAGCATGCATAAGATTCAGATGGGGGCAGATGTTACTTACGAAGCTGGCTTGTCCGTCGAACTGGCCCTTTGAGGAAATGAGAGTTAAAACCAATGGATTTTTGCAAAAATGGAGACGTATTGCAAAGAGAGGAATATATCAGACTCTGGCTGCATGGATAGTAATTGTTAGTTGGATCAGCTCATCATTGGTTTTGATGTATTTGTGAGATTTGTTGGCGAAGAATTTATTAAAACTGCTTTTACAGGCTGTCGTGCTAAATACAGATGAAGAAACATTTTGCTGGCTGTCACATCTCACACTGTCTGGTATAAGTTGGGAGCAGGTCAGACCTGAAAAGTGATTATACTGAAAATAGTTGTTTTTTTTTCTAAGCACTTACTCCAAGCGACACACAAAGATGCTGAAAGTGTATACTCACAGTGGTCAGCATGTCTAAACTCAGAGGCACCTCCATCATGGCTGCTGTACCCACTAAGCGGCCGTTCTTCACCTCCGTGTAGAAGACCTGAACGCCACATATACATTCATGTTAGAAGAGAAACACTGACCCAGTATTAAGATACAGCAGTGCCACTGTTAGCGTGGCTCATGGGGAAGAACTACAAGGAGAAGCAGGGCTGTTTAAGGACTTCCAGAACAATTGGCCAAACGAAGCACATGTTTGCCAGTGAGTTGTGGGGAAGCCTGGTAGTTGACTAATCCTCTTAGTGCAGACATATGGTCAAAAGCAGAGCACACACAGTGATCCACAATTTGTTAATGGTTGATTCAAAACAGCCGCTGCGTAGGAAGGAAGGAAGGAAGGAGTAAAGAAACTGGGCTCTGGTACGGTATATCACATTCAAAAAGAAGATACACAGAAATGCTTCAAATACATATGAGAGTATTTAAAAAGAGCCCGTCCACTTTATGACACAACAATGCCTACTTCCTACCACTGCGTATTTCTGAGCTTTTTTTTTGATTTATTCTGGATGTATGAAGAAAAAGCAAATCCCCACTTGAGAGCATCTGAAGCACAGCTACCCTAGAGCGGAGCAAAACCTCTATTGACGAGCCAATAAATGAAGATTTGTGACCACATCTTTCACAGCTTTATTGCCTCTGACAAAGTATAAATTTGGCAGCGAAGGGGTTTCGCCCAAACACTAGAAATCTCAAAAATATCAATCTAACCCTCAAGGCCGTCGTGCTGGACATCGAGTTCGACAGGCACTTTAGGAGCTGAATAAAGACGGTGGGGGCCACTCAGGGCAGCGACTTGCTGGAGGAAATGGACACACATTCAGTAAAAAGAGAGGAAATTTGATTTGTGACATGTTTGAGGACTTGTTTTTTGTTGGCTGGTTTGAAAACCTTTCTGTGCATTATAAAAAAAAAAAGAGAGATCTTAAAAAGACAATTCAAGGCCGTGTTTTAGTCCACTGTTTGTAAAGCGAAAAGTTTGTTTTTCTCTTGGTTTCGACCTGCTTTTCTGAGGTGTTGCCTCGAATATCTAGCATGTAAATCTTCATAATGACACAGCTGTTCTCTAAACAAGGACAACTGGATGGTACATTTTGAGGTGAAATAAGCAGCTGACCTCTAGCTTAAGAGTACAAAATGAGCGATATGCAAAGTATTGGAAGAAATGGTGCTATATTGACTCATTTCTTGTTCATCGTCTGTCATCAAGCTTTTATCGCTGACATGAATGGGATGTTAAGGTTCGGTGATTGTGACAAAGATGTTGATAACTTTTTTTAATGTTCATCACAAATGAGATATTCACACTGACATGTAGATAACGGATACAGTATTGGTGCAGACGTGCGTTATGTAAAATCCGTTTACCTTGTATCCAGTGATGGTGCTGACATGTCGCCGGGGCATTTTCCATCGTACACTGAAGGCGGTGCAGTTGATGGTCTCCAGCTGGATGTCCAGAGGAGGACTCAGACGATCTGGTTTACACAAAGACAGACGTAAACAACAAGGGAAACGGCAGATTTATAGGGAGAAATAGACTCAGATAAACTGTTTAGACTGTTTATTGGATTTAAATCAGGGGTGTCGAACTGCGGTCCTCGAGGGCCGCAATCCTGCATGTTTTAGATGTTTCCTTCTTCCAACACACCTGATTCAAATGATCAGCTCATCATCAAGCTCTGCAGAAGTCTGATAACGATCCTGATCATTTGAATCAGGTGTGTTGGAAGAGGGACACATCTAAAACATGCAGGATTGCGGCCCTCGAGGACCGGATGTCGACACCCCTGATTTAGATGATACTGAGCCAAAAACTATTAACATGAAACATTAGTAGAAAAAAGTAAAAGCCCTGAAATCAGCCTGAAATAACAAATATTCCTCTAATTAATATTAGCAGTGACAAACCCACCAAGCATCACTGCACGAGTCTTGCCAAGCACGAAACTGCAGATATGGCAACTAGCTGGTGAAGCATTTAGCAGCTAAACATGCAGATGTTTCCATCAGGAGCAGAAGGAGACCCGAAGAGAACTAAAACAAAGGTGAATGTTGGACTTATATAGACAACGTGACCAGAAACTAGCATGCTCGCCATGCCGGTGTTGTGTTTGCATGTTGTTTCTACTGCCCAAATTAGAAGAAGTAGCACTTGCAAGAAGCGCAACTCACAATATAAACGTTTTAGCTCCATGAGTTTGAACAAAAGCCGGTCTGTTGCTTTGTCTATCTCCATTGGTAAAGACAGTCTAAACACAACCTACACGCTAGTCCGCCTGAGTTGATTAGAAGACAAGAAAAGAAAATGTCCACTTGAGATACATAACCTGTAAATTGTCGTCTGATGTCATTATTTTACCGGGTATGACGCTTTTTGTGACATTTCAAGAGCTTCTAATTGCATGTCCAGTGTATAGAAAAGGTTTGAAAATAGTTCAAGAGGTTCTTATGGGAGCAAGAAAGCTATGGAGCTGCAGATCAGCAGTGCTCCCGATGACCTGATTTTATGCTTCACCAGGCTCTGGAGGACAAACATGAGGACCCTCAGAGCTTCGTAGTCATACACTTTAAGGAATAGTAGTCATACATAGTGAATGATTGCTATCAGAGGGCTACAAAGGTGCTTGGGAATAGTATACAGTAGTCGTGTTATGTATTTTAGATTCTTTTTATTTCTGAATTTACTCATAAAAGACGGTTGAAACAAGGTTAAGGCCAATAACTGCATTGAGCTACAATTGATCCTCTTCTTTCTAACCACCAAAGAGTTGCTGGTACAGCTTGACATGGGGATGAAACAAAAGTAAAGATAGCAAAGCAGAGAGGTCAGTAAATTGAAATCTCATGTAGCTACAGCGTTGCACTTTTCCATTTTTTTTCTCTCCTCTTTATTTCTTGCGACTGGCCTTTTCTTCTACCTACGTCGACCTCCCTCCTGTCCTCCTCAATCTTCTCCTGTCTTCATCTTTCTTCCTTTCTCGTACCCTTTTCCCCGCACTTCCGTCTGAGTGGGTAATGCAATATGTCAGCTGAACTCCCCGATCATCCATATCTCCCCGGGGGTGTGGCCCAGTGAACACATGGGTGAGCTGAACTCGCAGAATTAGAGCAGATAGAGAAGGAACTTCCTTAAATCATCATCTGTCTGTCCATCAAACACGCGTTGCTTTTTAAAGTGGTGCTAAATGGACAAGGTGCGGCTGGGCTGGGTGCTAATTTCAGGACTGGAGTAAAACTGTGTATCCTGAAACTCCTGATACGAACCCCTGAAACTGGAGGATTATTTCCAGGTGTGCAATCTAAAGGAAGCAATAAGGCTTATGAACAAAACCTTTTAATGTGAGACGATTTTTAAGGTGTTTAATCGAAGACAAGCTGGATCTTTTGAGCAACACTGGCTCCATCAAACATTGTTGGATGGCGAGATGTTTTTTTTTATTATTTAAAAAATCATCAAGCATTAACAACAAGGGACAAAGTATGAATTGTCTGCAGCGTTGAGGTTAAAACATTGTGCTAAAACAACCTTCTGGCCAGATGCCATTCAGAATGTGACCTGTATGACTCTGCATCTCTGGATGCATCCACAGCAACTCGAAGTGACTTGTTCAGCGCAGAGGAAGAAAAAAAAAATCTATAAAATCGGCTCTGACCTACGCACACCTGGTGAGTGAAAGTAGTGAATCCAACCACCCTGAACATGCAAAGTGTCTAATCAATACAGCGGCTGCTGTTGTTACAGCAGCTGCCACTAGTGAACCAGGAGCACGAGGGAGGACGCAACCCCTTTCATATGTGAGCGACACAGGTGAAGACAGAGCTTCCTGATTGGTGCATTGTCTGAAACTAATGCTGCCATCCTGAGCAGGACTCCCCCTGACAAAGAGCTTGCCAACCTCAATTGGATTTAGCTGGTTAAGTGAAGGCTAAATGTATCAGTGCACATTAGAGACACGAGGCCAAGCAGGTCAACAAAGGCTAAAACTTCACCAAACTGCACACTTTGATGCACAATACATCTCACACACAGGCTTTTTCCCCCAAATGCACCAAACACACATCACTATGTTGGCAAAAATGGTCCCTTACTTCATCTGTAGGATTACAGAAGTCCACAGCTCTGGGATAACTCCTTAGAAATTCCTCATTAATGTCTGAATCAGTGGTTGAACTATTGTCCAAATAATAGTTCAGCTGATTAACTGAACTGTTGAGGCCAAATGCAATCATTGAATATTTGAGATTTTAATGACATATTGGCTGGCGATATTTTCTTATTAACTTCATTAATTCTTTTTTTTAAGGAACGATGACCAAGATACATATTTAGCAGGACAATTTGCATTTAGAAAATCATCTTGTCAGCGATAACGGATGGACAGATCAAATTACTGCAGACATATCTTTGTCGTGTCTGCACAGTAATTCTAAAAAAAAAAAAAAATGGATTGGCTGTCACGTACAATGATACCAATACATCTGCAGCGAGTAAATAACAGTTTAGACAGCGTCACTGTCACACATGATTCTTTCTTATCAGCCTCAAACATCTAAATAGAGAGCTTTTGTTGTCATCTGTTATGGGATACAAACGAGAGCTTTCAGGCGTTTTTAAAGCGCTGTGAGAATTCAGTGTTAATCCGAAAATAAAAAAGGCACTGCTTTATTTCACTTCAAGAATTATCCAGTGTTAGGTTTGGATACCTTCTTGTACAATAATTCACCTGTTCTGATGGTATATCTCCACTTTCAGACTCAGCCATGTAGAAATGCTGCTCTTTCCAGGTCTGAGTCACTCAATGAATGATCACTAAGATGCCTGCCTTAGAGATGAACACATAAACAATGTGTTTGAAGGAGGTAAAATGTGAAATGTCATCTCCCCCCTTCCCAAAAAACAGAACTGTGTCTCATCCTGATTACTTTTTTCATCATTCTCTTTCACCAGAACCTCATGCGCTGCGTGTGAGGTGATGGAAACCATCATTACAATGCATACTTCCATAACAAGTTATTAACTTTACATATGCATCGCAATAAGTGTAAAAACAAATAAAGCTTCCGAATTGTTCTATTAATAATTCAATAGCTTATTTGAACGGGGGATGAAGCTGTCAGAATCCCGAAAAAAAGGAAAGACAACCTTGGGGAAGGACGTCATTCACATTTTAACGCTTTCTTAACACCAGCAGCTTCGTTATTTAAGGCTGCATCTGGACATTGAGCCCTGCTGACATTCTTCTACGCCTCCCCTCCCCTTCCCTCAGACCGAGGCCCGAAAGACCCCGGAACACAAAAACAAGTAGAAATGTCGCTGGCAGTCATGAAGACAGAACTTCGGCTGTCCTCTGTATGACAGACTAAACTGTGGTGAGTTTACTGCGCTGACAGACAGATGTAAAAGTCAGGCTGCAATGGCCTGTGGGTCCAAAGAGTGAGGGAGGGAGAGACGCAACAGTCAGAGAGAGTGACAGCGGGAGAAAAAGGAAGTGATGGAAAGAGAGAAACAGCGAGGGAAAGGGAAGAAACTGGGACAGGAGAGAAAGATGGAGAAACGTGTGGGGATGACGAAATCCGCATCGAGGGATTTCTGCCCAAAGGAGCACATTGGCAAGTGCCATGTTGGTCTAAAGCTTTTTTGTTTTTTTCTCTCTCTCTCGTTGACAAATAACAACATGCTGCATATTCTCAGTTTCCATCAACATAAACAATAGCTTGTAAGAGAAATAGCTTTTTTTTTTCAGCAAAGGCTTCATGTGTAATATATGGAAAGTCCTTTGCAGTTGATTGGCTGCCTGATGTCTTCACATTTTACACCTCATTGATCAACCAGTTCGTCACTGCAACCACTCTTGGTTGTTGCAGCATCTCTCTGCCTTTACTCTGGTCTTCAGCAAGTGGATGCACGCTCAGACAGAGTTTAGGTGACGAACCAGATGAGGATATTTCACCTCTGTACCCTGAAAAGCTGTTTGGTCTTTTTGGCAGCATATTGATGGTTGTTGTTCTCCTAAATGATGAAGCCATACATAACTACATCATAGCAGGATGCTTTAGTTCATTGGCTGTTCCTTTTTTTTCTCTACGAATTCCTCTTTCCATCATTTTGACTCAGGATGAGTTGTGTTTCATTGTCGCTTTTTACGTTGTTCCAGTTTCTTTTTGTCTGTTTTGGCAAACTGCAGCACGGCCTTCTGTTTCTGAGGAGTTATGGTGAATGAAGTTTACTCTTGACTGTTTGCCAGCATCCACTCGGCGTGCTCATTTCACCATTTTCTCGCTTTCCTGTAGACAATCCGCCTTCCTTCTAATGTATCCAGTTGTTAATTTGGGCAAACCTGCTACCTTTAATATCACTTTATTATCTTAATCACTTACAGCGCCGCCTCTTCACTCCTCATATTGACAGACAACTCAACCTTAATCTAAATTGCAACTCTCAATTAACTCTGAGCCACGTGTCTGCATTAACTAATGTTAAAACGGCACGCGGCCGCCCGAGAAATCATTAGCAGCCAAGTATCCAATTACTTGTAAACCTTTGCAATTTGTGCAGTGTGTGTTCGAGGTGCTGTGTCCTGCACACAACTCAGTCAGCGGGGACATAAACCTGCTCAAAGCTCAGACTCTCCACTTTAATTTAGCCAGTTCCATCGTTTTATTTCAAATTAAATGTGAAGAAGCCTTAAGAACAAAAAAAAAGAAAGACTAACTGTCCAAATATTAAGAGTCTGGACTGAAGTAGTGTCGCTTCCCTCATGAAAGTTCTGCCTCCAGCTTATCAAGGTTCAAACTGCTTCAATTAAAGCTACAATGGAATATTTGTAGCTGGCTGGGTATTTTTAAAATGCAATTCTGTGCTGCAGAGAGAAGAGAGTGAACCTGTGTTTAAATGTTCCTCATAGAACAAAACACCTTTGTTGCAGAACAACACATTTCCTGCTCCATGAGGGATGTGGGAGATGTTTACTGCATGATGAGCATCCAATAACCAACTTATCTTCTTGCTCTAATCACTATAAAGTAAGATATTATGCTTCATTTAATAACTCAGATGTGACGTGGTGACATTTTAAAGCAGGCTTAACCTTTCAGCTATAATGAAACAAATGGAGACACACAAATGCTGCCCTAATCCACAATGTTTCAATATCTGCTTCAAAACTATTCATAAAATGATGATGATTAATGTTGCTACACCTTCTTTCAGATGGTTTCAGATGATGAACTTACCAGATCTCCGCACATTTGATCTTCTTGCACAAAAGCAGACGCCGGCTGTGCAAATTGCAAAGAAAAGTAAGTATAAAAGACGTCTTTCTTTACATGTAGATTCCATTTGTCTTCTTCTGGTTGGAAACAGTCAGATGTTCATTGTATCACACATTCAAATGGAACTAATCCAGTCGTTGATCAAACAAAAAAAAGTTTTCTTGAATTAAAAAAAAAAAAAAAAAGGTTTTCATCCAAATTTTGGCACAACCGCCATCCAAAGACACGGAGGATCTGGAGAGAAGAGAAAGAGGGTAGCCACGGTTTGACACTGAGAAGATTACAGTCTGCAAAAGATCAGTGGGACGGACACATTAACGGACGGACGGACAGACAGACAGCGACTGTGCCCCTGCAGGCGCTCTGACGGACGATGGAGAGGGTTGTCCCGACACGTAATGCGCAATCACTGACAATGGTGGGCACGATTCTTTTTTGTTTTTTTCTCTCTTTACGCACGAAGATCGCTCTCGTGTCACGCTCCGCTCCGCGTCTTGGGCAGCAGATGAGCTGGACGGCGAAGTGCAGGAACGTGGGGCCATTTAGAGCTAAGAGGATAATAAGCGTCTAATCCGCGCACTGGACGCAGATGGAGAGCATGTCTTGACGCAGAAGCTGGGGCTCAAGCAACAGACTCTCTTGTGTTATTACTGTTGGTGTATGATTGAGTGTCTGTGTCCACAACAATGAGCAAAAACAAAGAATTTCATTAATTAATGTGGTCCAAAGCAGCTGCCCTGTGCTTAGACTCGTTAATATGTGACCAACCGACCAGATTATGTGTCCTCTAGTCTGGACAGGAGATGTGGTCTATTAGTAATAACAGAGAGAGAGTATGTGTGTGCATGAGAGATCAGCCAAATCACTTTGCTTTACAAAGATTCATTTTTCTTATCAAATAGGATAAAAAAAATAATATAAAGGACTGTGAACAATGTTTGCATAGATGGTACAAGGCACTTTTAACTTTATTAAAGTTGCCCACAGCCTCCACGATTACAATCTTGGTGCAAATGTGGTTTTATCCATTAGATGTCCTGCACAAATCAATGTCAAAACAGTGCTGCAGACGTTAAATTAGCCCAAACTCTTCATCCAGAGGGGCCACATTTTTTAACTTGGTTCCATTTTGGTGTCCATTTTTATTGCATTATCTTATTATATTACCATGGGAGAAAAAAATGGAGCCCCCTGCCAGGAACCACTCTGATTTGTTAAGCCATTTTCATTTTCACTCCGCCGGTCATTTACTTCAACTTCATTTTCTGAGCGAGGCGTATTCCACCTTCATACAAAAAGAAGCATGTGAAAGTCGGTGATTACTCAAGCCATCAATTTGTGCCTAATAATACAGAAATCCTTTTATCTAATTTGGATCCAGTGTTTTTTCTTTCTTTTTATTTTTTTTGCCCTGTCACACACTTTCCGCAAAATGAAGCCTTTCCGAGCACAAATATAAAATATCATCTTTAACAGTATATTTCTACGCAGACAAGTGAAGGAGTTTTACATGTTTACTGTTCGTTCTATCTATAAGGACTCCATCTGTACAAACACAGCAGGCCATACAACGCATTCATCAAAAGAAACCTTGACAGCAGGCATTGAAAAGAATGAAACTAAGGCCAAGGCTGATTTAAGGTTGGTATCTTAAAGACACTTCATATGCATGGGTACGGTTATAACATTACAGCTCTCATTCTTCCAGCTTATCTAAAGGCATTGTATCGTCATGGTGAATGGAGGCGTCTTTATAGTCCTTCCGTTCAAAGCTTTTTACACAGACCCGTGACACATGCAAGGTGCTGCACTGACCACTGGGAGCCTACCTAGGTTCACTTTGCCATGTAGAGAGCCAACGCTGAGATTCGGAAAGCTACATCTGCCCCACTGTTCAAAAACAGCCTCCACCATATTTTGTCATCACTGTTAAAACTTTGCAGGGTTGATTCACTCATTCAGGTATCGACCGTATGTTTCTGCGAAGATGTGCTCAACTCAGACTCGATTTGTCTGACTTTTAACTTCCAGTCTCCAGAGGTGGGACTCCAGTATTGTGTCATTCCTGTGTGAGCTGTGAGAGATGGAAGAAAAGACTTTCCTTTGCTGTAGTCTGACAAACCTGCAGCAGCTGCAAACCGGCTCCAAGTACGTCGGTTCTTTCACACATGGTGCCTGGATCTGTAAAGTTACTTATAATAGTCATGGTCACTGGTGAGGATGTGCTGTGATGTAGAGCATGAGATTGTGCTTTACTTTGCTGGGTGTGTTTCAATTTGATAAAACAGCTTCCAGATCAAAAAAAAGTTTAAAAATCATGTGGTTTAGAGGTTGTTTGAGAGGAATGTCAGAAATTCTAATAGCAGAATGATTTTGTTAAGAAGCTCTTGATGCTTTTCGTGCATTCCAAAATACACAAAAACCGATGCCAACATTGAGTCTGATGAATTTGGCAGTTTGTAAACACAAAACTACATCAGTACAACATTACGTTAAACTCACGCTGATTAATGGGGGAAGTAAAGATATTTTAAGATAGGTGGCGATGACAAAAAGAAAGCAGACTTCAAACTCTGCTCTGTTCAATTGTCAGCAGGAGGAAGAGTGAAAAAATAGATCATTTAACACAGTTCAAAAAGTTTGCAAATGCGAGCAGCAGGAGACGCAACAACAAGGTTTGCATTAGCGAGAGAACACGTCCACAGAGAACACATGGGCCGAAAAACAAGAGCGGCTCTCAATCATCCACCGAATATGAACCTAACGATTACATTTCCATCATTCACCACATCACAGCAGCTGTCTTAAGATGCAAGAAGCACTTTAACGGCCTGTTGCAGGACCTTTTGGTCTTCATGTCTGTTCCAGCAGAGTCTGTCTCTCACCAGCTTCACTGCACAATGGAACAAACTTGACTTCCTGGAAAGATGCATTACAAGCAAGGCAGTTCAAAGGCTTGCAACCAGGTCTTTGCATTTTATAATTATTGCAGTTTTATGGTAGAAATACATGCATTATTGTTAAATGAGTCAAATCTGTGCATCTCTACTGCAACACTGACAAACCAAACTTTGCAGTGAAGTTTGTCTTTTGACCCCAGTAGTGAAAGTTCATCAGGTCATATGTCCTTTTCAAAAATGTCTTTGTGCGTTCCCAGCTTTGAGAAACGTATTCCATCAGGGCTGTAACTCTTGTTTGCTTCAGCCAGAAATAGCAAGTGGAATTTTGAAAGACGAGGCAGGCCACATCAGGTCAATATATAATTTTTGGATTGTGTAAACTCATCTTCAAAACTCAAGTATTAGTCTGGCTGTCTATCAGCACCTGAACAGGACACATCAAACAAGGAAGCGAGCCTGAAACAAGACCTTGGAGAAAGAATAAGTAGAGGAAAATCGACCCAAAATGCCTCTTCCTGGAAACCACAAAGCTAATGCCTGTCTTACTGACGTTTCCCTGGAGGACCGCAGCTGATTGAAGTGTTGACTGCATTTAACAAAATGTTGTCTTTCATTTTCTTCTCAGTAATGGAATTCTTCTCTGGGGTCAGAGAGCCATCTCATAACAGCCGTAGTAATAGTAGCTCTGCAAATAACAAAGTCACTCAAAAATAGTCGGGCAGGTGTCGTCGTCTTCAGCGCTATCAAGTATCTTAAACACTCATCTTTGTCCTCCTTTAGGATATGTAGGAACCAGTTTGATCACCAAAAGCCAATTATGATCAAATTCCATCAAATAATTCAACGTTTATTAATCTATTCAAAGCTCATTTCTGTTCTTCTAAATTCCTTTAATCTCCACATCACATCTGTCAGCTCTATTAATTATATAATCTCTGGGTCGCACAGACAAAATGTGATCTGATAATTCCAGTTTATTCACCTGCTATTATCAGCTAATCGCCCAAATATGACATAGACAGCAGGTGGGAGTACAGCCCTGCAGAGGTCAGAGGCAGACGCAACGAGAAAGACGTCATTGGAGCAGATCTAATGCAGGCTGTGACTTCACATTTTATGACACATGCTCTGAAGCACTTTGTATGTTTGCATAATTCAAACCAACATCAATCAAGTGTCTTCTCAACTCCACCAAATTCTTACCTAGTGGGGGATTTGGGGAAAAAAAAGAAAAGAAAGCCTTTCCTGTGTAGGAACCACCAGTGCTGTAAAGTAACTGAGTACATCTACTCAAGCACAAGCTGTACTTTACTAGACTATTTCCATTTTGTGCTTATTTATACTTTTAAAATTCAATACGTTACAAATTCTGTGCCTTTCACTCCACTACAGTTACTTGTTGTTAACTTTGCAGGTTTACTAACAAAATAAAATCTACACATAAATTATGATTTAATATTATAGGTTAACATTAAACTTTATGGGGTTGCAAGGTGGCTCGGTGGTTAGTACCGTTGCCTCGCATCAAGAAGGTCGCTGGTTGGTGTCTCGGTGAGGACACCCAGGATCTTTCTGAAGATTCTCAGTCATCCAGGTCATGGTTATTCTCGTAGATTAATCCTTGAAGATGTTTCACCTCTCATCCAAGAGACTTCATCCGTTCAACTAACCCCCAATTGAACCCGAAACTCAGGTGCTAATGACTCCTTAAGGATATAAGTATCTGGAACTCCCAACTAGTCAGTCAGAACTGATGAAGCCTCTTGGATGAGAGGTGGAACGTCTTCAAGGAACTCAAGCAAGTCCAGTTGCTACGATTAATCTACCAGAATTTCTGCATTTTGCATGTTTTCCCCATGGGTTCTCTCCGGGTTCTCCGGCTTCCTCCCACGAGGTCCAATGGCTAATTGGTGATTCTAAATTGTCCGTAGGTGTGAATGTGAGTGTGCTTGGTTGTCTGTCTCTAAGTGTAGCCCTGTGATAGACTGGTGACCTGTCCAGGGTGTCCCCTGCCTTCACCCTAAGTCAGCTGGAAAAGACATGACTCTAGTGAGGATTAGGTGGTGTATAGATAATGGATGGATGGATGGATGGATGAAACTTTGTGGATCCCTGAAGGTAAATTCACAACCTATCCAGCAGATAAACACTATATAGCAGCTAAATC